TTTATAATCTTTCTCTCTCAAATCTCCCCAAACCCATACAAAATGAAGATACAAACAAACAACCAGTAATATAAAAAAGCCCCAACCCAACACACACACACACACACACACACACACGCACGCACGCACGCACGCACGCACACAGGTACGCACACAATCCCACAGAATTTGCTTTATGTTGATCAATTATTCCTGCCATAGGGTCTGCTCTGGAATGTCACTGATATACCCAGTGATACTCCAAGAAGAAAACTGATTTTCCTTTTACCAGCAGGTATCAATTTCAAATAGTGTCCTGGTTAGGGATAGCAGCCTGCGTCTGGAGTCAAAGTTTTCTCCAGTCCTGCTTGGCCCCGTGGTCCCACAGCTACTTACAAAATAATCATACAGAGACTTACATTATTTACAAACTATATGGCCTATGGCAGGCTTCTTGCTAGCTAGCTTTTATGTCTTAAATTAACCCATTTCTATTAATCTATGTTTTACCATGTGTTCTGTGGCTTACTGGTCTGCTGGCATGTTGTTCCTTGGGTGGTAGGCTGGCATCTCCCCAGACTCTGCCTTTCTTTTTCCTGTCTCTCTCCTTGGATTTCCTGCCTGCCTCTAAGTTGCCTTGCCATAGGCCAATGCAGCTTTATTTATCAACCAATCAGAGCAACATATATTCACAGCATACTGAAAGACATCCCACAGCACTTTCCCTTTTCTGACTAATCAAAAAAGGAAGGTTGCAATCTCTTTCTAAAAAAGATAAGGGGATAGTATGGATATGATAGGATAAAAGGGTAGATTACTGAATCTACTTTTAAAGACCAACAACTTGTTTAAAATGTTTTACATTGCTATAGATTTTAGCTTGATACAAATTTAAAGTTAATTTTGGTATACTATTTCTACTCTTGGTTAAAGTATTTTATGCAGCTCATTTAAAATTGTAATATATAATTAATAAATACAGATTAATAATCATCTAGGAGAATCAAACTTAGAGTCATGTTAGTTAAATTTTTTTCAATATACAAAAATATATTTCAATTAGGTAGGTAATCTTCAAACACTTCAAAGACTTAACAGAATATGACATTTAAAATGTTTTAAAAACTTAAGACTTTCTGGACAGTGAGACACATCTGCTCCTGGAAGCACCAATTACTTCAAAGAGGATGATGGGCATCAAAGAAACTCATTATAGAATTTGCTTTCTTTATGGCAAAAGTTAGCCACTGGGAAAAAAATGCTCTTGCCTAGACTGTTTGAAAGCATGTAATATAGACTGTACATGCAGAATCCATGGGAAGATGACCACTGAACTTTACAAGTTGAGATGATCCTTCAGGTTCCTGCTTCTCAGAAGAAACGGCCAGACATTCAACAGAACACTGGAAGAAGTGATTGATGAACTTCGCCAGAATGGGCGGAACAATTCTTCAAATTTCCTGCTTCATTGAAAAGTCTGCCAGAGATTCTATACCTATGGGCTGAAGATGGATGCCCCAGTATTGCAGAGGAACTTTGGGTGACGTTCTAGGCAGCCAGATGTCTCTGTCATTCTAGACTTTTGGAAGTTGCTTACAATGCACTTCCTGTTTACTTAGGTAATATTATATCCTTCTTGGGTCTTTGATGGAGTTGAAGACTAGATAGTTATAGTTTTCTTTAGTTGTAATAAAAGATAAATTAGATACAGAATTTTAGACTCACCAAGATAAGATAGATAATTATTTTCACTAACTTTGTCAAATGCAATTGGATTGGCTATACTGTAATTCTTACTTAACTGTTTTTGTTTTACTATATTAAGCTTAAAACCTTCCTTTTTGATTAGACAGAAAGGGGGAAGTGCTGTGGTATGTCTTTCTGTATGCTGTGAATATATGTTGCCCTGATTGGTTGATAAATAAAGCTGCATTGGCCTATGGCAAGGCAACTTAGAGGCAGGCAGGAAATCCAAGGAGAGAGACAGGAAAAAGAAAGGCAGAGTCTGGGGAGATGCAAGCCTGCCACACAAGGAACAACATGCCAGCAGACCAGTAAGCCACAGAACACATGGTAAAACATAGATCAATAGAATTGGGTCAATTTAAGATATAAAGGCTAGTTAGTAAGAAGCCTACCATAGGTATAGGCCATACAGTTTGTAAATAATATAAGCCTCTACGTGTTTACTTGGGTCCAAGTGGCTGCAGAACACTGTTTCCTTGGACTTATCCATAACCCCGGCCCTTAAAATCATTCTGCCTCCTCTTTTACATAGACCTTGAACTTTAGTGGGAAGATTTGATGAAGATATCCCATTTGTGATGGACAGCTCCAAAGTATCTAACTCTCTGCATATTGTCCAGGTGTGATATCTATGCTGATTCCCATCTATTGCAAGAAGAAACTTCTCTGATTGGACAAGGCACTGATCTATGGGTGTAGCAATATGTCTTTAGGACTCTTTCCCCCCCACCCTATATTCCTTTAACGGTCTAGTCACATGTTCTTGGACCTTTTAGCAGTGTCAAGTATGTATTCCATCTCATCTAGTGCCTATATCTAATCAAAAGTGGTTGGTTATTTGTGCTACCATGGGACCAATATATGTTGTAGGCAGGTCATTGTTGTAGGTCACCGCACTTGTAGCTGGTGATATTGATTGTCACATTTCTGTTCTGGCAGCATGAAGTATACCACCCATCCAGCACTATGAATATTAGTCAACAGGAGTAAAGCTTCAGGACTGGCACCAGCCCAACTCCTCTATGTTTGATGACATATATAAGTGTTGTCTTCAGCAAGAGGACCTTCCTATTAGGTTGTGGAGTGTGACCAGTAGCCTTGGCCATAGCCTATGGTGTTGAAGAATTCTGTGTCATCACAGTATCCTCAACAAATGGTTCAGATCAAACTAGATGGCTGTGTGTAGAAGAATTAAATAGATCCCTATCTATCATCCTGCAAACATCTCAACTCCAAATGAATCAAGGACCTCAGCTTACGACCAGGAACCCTGACTCTGATAGAAGAAAAAGTCCAAAATAGTATTGAATTCCTTGTCACAGGCAAGGGATTTTTGAACCAGATATCAATAGTACAGGCATTAAGACCAACAGTTAATAAATGGGACCTCATGAAGTTGAGAAGCCTATGCAAAGCAAAGGACAGCATCATTTAAACCAAGTGGTAGCATGCAGAATGGAGTAGGCTTTTGCCAATTATACATCTGATAGAGGATTAGCATCTAAAACATACAAAGAACTAAAACTGTGTGGTGATATTTTATCTGTGTACCCCAATAAAGTTTATCAGAGGATCAGAGGGAAAAGCCAGCCACTATAGTAAACATAGAAGTCAGGCAATGGTAGCGCATGCCTTTAATCCTATCACTCGGAAGGCAGAGATCTGTCTGGATCTCTGTGAATTCAAGGCCACAGTGGGAACAGAGCCAGGCATGGTGGTATATACCTTTAATCCCAGCATTAACCATAAAGGTCTGGAGGTCTGTACAGACAGAAGTAACAGAACTGGGCAGGAAGAGGAAGTGAAGTAGCTGGGCGGAGAGAAAAAATGAGATGGCAGAACAGAAAGGCATATAGGTGTGAGTATACAGGAAGCAGGTCTGTTTGGAGACTGAGGTATTGGTGAGGTAAGGTCAGCTGTGGCTTTTCCTGTTCCTCTGATCTCTCAATTCTTCACCTCATTATCTGGCCCTCGGGTTTTTATTAATAAGACTGTTTAGCAATTCATCTTACAAAACTGAATGTCAAGAAACCAAATAACCCATTTAAAAAATTGGGTGCAGAACTAAGCAGAGAGTTTTCAAAAGATGAAACAAATGATTGAGAAACACTTCAAGAAATGCTCAATGTGCTGGGCAGTGGTGGCGCACGCCTTTAATCCCAGCACTCGGGAGGCAGAGCCAGGTGGATCTCTGTGAGTTCGAGGTCAGCCTGGACTACCAAGTGAGTTCCAGGAAAGGCGCAAAGCTACACAGAGAAACCCTGTCTCGAAAAAAACAAACAAACAAACAAAAAGAAAAAAAAAGAAAGAAAGAAATGCTCAATATCCTTAGTTATCAGGGAAATGTAAATCAAAGCCACTTTGAATTTTTATTTTACCTAAGTCAAAATGGTCAAGACAATAAAACAAATGAGAGCGCATGCTGGTGAGGATGTGGGGAAAAGGGGACACTTATTCAGGGCTGAAGGAAGTACAAATTTGTACAACTACATGAAGAGCCTTAAAAATATTCATTTTGTATCTCATTATACATTCTTTGCTGGGCAAGATGGAACTCATTATAACCAGGCTGGCCTTGAACTCATGGAGAGTTCCACCTGCCTCTGTTTCCCAAGTTTTGGGATTAAGAGTGTGTGCCATGATGCCTGGCTTCAACATATTATTAGAATAAAGTAATTCAAATCTATTATTATACTAATTTTATGAGAAAGATTTTGAATTTCTAAGTTTTTATGACTTTAAATAATATTTTTCTAAATAGAGTAATAAGACATAAAAAGTTCTTTTAAAAACTTACATCATAAGTAAAAGACTTTTAAAAACTAATTCTAAATTCTATACTCTAGGATACATTGTTTTGAAATGTAAGCTATTGGTTAGATACCTTGATTAACATAAATAATAGGCTAGTCTATATATTTAGAGAAGCATGAAAATTATGAAAGTCATACTATTCGGAATAAAAAAAACATATGAGGTTTACTTATCCAAATAATCCTGAATTTCAAATTTCCTCTGTAGTAAAACTATAACTTCCCTGTGATTACTTATTTTTTTTACCTCATTTTTGGCTTTCATGACATTAAAATAATTACCATGTTTTAGTATTTTCTCAGTAAAGACATTAAAATTGTCATAATTTAATAAAAAAGTTTTTTATCTAGTCAACTGTCTAACTAAAATTATGACATTTTGACAACTGCCATATTTTAACAGTTCAAACACCACAAAGAACAAATTCAGCCCAGGAATTTTCTCAAAAAGGCTCTGATTACCTGAGTTTCAAAATTAGCTTCTCCAGTCCTTGAACACACAGAAATCAACGACTCCGACTTGAAGTCATATCTTTCAAGCAAAGACACACAACAGAACAGGTGAGTAGTAGTCTATAAAATATTCTGAAGGTTTAGTTATTTGAATAGCAAATGGTTTTTCTTTTTATTGTTATTAAATGTTTGGTTTATAAAATTATTTCAGTTGTTACTCTCTGCTTCCACTTTTCCCAATCTCTGCACTTGCTAATTCATACATAGTTCCACATTAAATACTATCAGTCAATAATTTGGTGGAACCTGAAAATCATTTGTCTTGAAAATTGTCTGTCCTGATGATTGCACTCAAATTACTATCAATTGTTCACATAAACTTTCAACATAAATTTAAATAAAATGATAGACTCAAAGAAGGTAGAAGGATATAGTGTCTCTATTCTATTCTCTATTCATAAAACACCAAACTGTATAAATGGTAGCCTTCATTCTTCAGAATGAAAAAAAAAAAGACATTGAAAGGAAACCATCACATTCATTCATCCAAATAGCTAATAAAGTAATAAAAAAAACCTTTTAAAATGTTTGAATACTAAATTTATAAATGAATATATAAATGTGTAATTACTGTTAGGAATGCTCTTCTCAGGGAGGGTCAAACATTACAATGTAAATTACTCAGTTATGCTTCTTAATTGGCTCAGGCTTATTCAACCACCACCAAACACTTAAAAACCTTCATGTGCCCAGTCGATGTCAGAGACTTCTGGAAAAGCAGATCCCTTGTGCTTTTGCCTCTGTTTCCCTCTACATTCTCTAGGTGTCTTCCTTCTATAGGATACCACTCCTTGCTCCCTCTTCTGCAGTCTTCAGTGATGCTCTCCAGTCTTTAAATATCCATCCCAGCAAGGTGAAGATTCCTGAAAGTATGGGCTCAAAGAACCTGAGTAGCAGCTAGCTCCCTGCTTCAGGCAAATAAGGTAAATGGAGGGTGAGCAATACCAGCCCCAAGCCTGTACATGTTACTACTTTCTATGAAGATGTTGTGCATTTGAATCTGAAAAGGATAGATATGACTTGGGAAAAGATACACAAAAAAGGAAGCAGTTGCCCTGGGTCACAGACAAATTTCATTGTTCCTTCCGATTCTTGGTACTGAACATTCACTAGCCTATCCTCTGTGACACATTTCTGTTTTCTATAAAGACTTCACTGTGACTCAAGTAATTTCAACAGAATCCTGGAATTTGTCATTTCTTACAATTAACCACAAAAGGCAACATATTTTACAAATTACTTTCAGCCCTATTTTAACATCTAGTTATAGAAGATCAATATCCTGTGTCCTTACAAATAGCTTTACTGTCTTTCATTGTAAGCCCAAACTCTTAGTCCTGTTGACCATCTTGGTGCTCCTTTAAGATTGCCCTTCCCCTGTTAAAGCCATTCTAATCTTCTACCACTGGGCTCACTTGGTGATGTCTTTCTTGTTCTCTTCCACTTGGGACACTTGACTCACTGCCCTATTCTCCTACTGAAGCACTCAACACTGGTGAGCAGGGAAGATACCCAGTCCTCTAGTTAACGAACATGTGCATGCAAATTGGGCCTTTTATATTTTCATCTCCACAGAACACTGTCTTTTAGCTTTGGGTGTTTCATCAGAACCACCATTACCTAGGATGTTGAATCCAGTTTGCTGTGCCTGGGATATTTTTTTTTTTAAACTCAAAATTTTTAGAATTTGAGATTCATGAGTTAAAAACAAGAAGCGATATTTGGCTAACAAAAATTCTAAACTACATGTAAAGAAACTTGAAGAAAAGTAAAATGTACATTAAAATTTCAAAAAGCCTGATGTCATAGGGAAACAAAAACTTGATAAAAAAAAAAGAAAGAAATCCTTCCTTTACTTGGGAAGTTTGAAGAGAAAACAAAACTGGGAATAAATTAATAATGCTCTTTAAATAGTTGCTAAATATGATACACATATCATGGTGTATGTGCACATGCAGTACAATTCTAATAAAATAAATCCAAGACTTCTCTCATCTTGTTCATTTCAAACCTATGACACTGTGCACACAGTTAAGTGAGGTTTTTCCCTCCCATTTTTGATGGTAGTCTGATGTACCAATGTGCTGAGTAACAGCAACTGCCAAAAGACTCAGATAAACTATTGAGCTATAGCTAGGTTTCTCAGGAAAACTCTAACCTAGAGGTGGCACATAACAAAAACTGGCTTTCTATATGGGACCATCTCAGTGTAGTTAGAGGAGCAAGAAAATGCGCATGCTGACCTTTAATTCATGAATTGGCCACTTGGAATTAATCAAACCATTTGGATGACAGTTGCTAAACTAATAAGACACTTAATTACAATGATATAAATGCTTAAAAACATATGATTATACTAATACATAAAGTACATTAAGTGAATCACATGGAATACAGTCAAGAATACATCCAGTAGACACTAGCTTCTTTCCCCTGGTTCAAATTATAACTTAACATTCATTCTTAAACACTCCAAAATCCTACCCTGATTGAGAGATGTCTCCGAGCTGATTTCCTGTGATTGAAGCAATAGTAAGACATATTTCAGTAGATGATATTACTCTACAAAAAGTATAATACTTATACTTGAAGAAGCTTCTAGGGTAAATAATAACTATGCTATTGGCAAATGATCAAGAATCTTCACTTTCTTTGAATTTATTGAATAAAAGAATGAAAGAAATTATCAGCATTTGATACCTAAAAGTAAGTGACCATGTACAGTGACCATAATCTCGAATGAATTATCAGACTGATGGAAGAGTACCATTGCCAGAATCAGTACTGACCATAACTAACCAGCAAAGAGAGTAGTTTGTCTTAAATGATGACACTAGGATCTATTTGAAGACAGAATATCACACACACACACACACACACACACACACACACACACACACACACACACACAC